TAAATGCCCTACTGCCTACTAACAAGATACGAAGCCAGTTTTGTGAAGTCTGAATATTTTGAATCACTATTCTGTTCTTATGGACTGTCCACCACAGTACTAATGATTACCTTTCTTTCATTCATGGTTTTTTGATACAGGATCATAAACTGGCACTTGTTGACAAATTGCTACTTATTTTTTCCACACGTTGATAAACATGAAAATGCTTTGAAGGATCAAGGCCAGTATCTCTTGGCTGCACACAGAGAGAGGTTGCATGAGCTTCATCAGCTACTCCTGCCGGCATAACAAACAGATTCTGGCATACAGTATTATGTAGGTATATAACACCACAAGGTCTACAAACAAGATGATCTCCAAGAAAGTGTCCGAATAAACTGATTTTATTTGTAATCATTTCAAAGATGCATATTTTTGAAGGCAGAGAGTCCAGCTTTGCTCTGAAATGCAGCTCACTGCTCACTTTGTTCGTAAGATGTTCCTAAATACAACTGTGTGGAAAAGTTAAAATCTCATTAATTCCTCAGTCATCTAGAGCAACTGACCTCTAAGAAGAGTGTTCCTCATTTCCCTTCTGGCTACCTCCCTCTCTCCAACATTTTTTGTAATTTTCTGCTCTTGGATCTTTATCACTGTAGTGTGTTGCCTCACAGACTGAAGACAATCTGAGAGGAGTGTGTTTCAGCTACTCATGAAAAGGATTTTCATATATTAAACTATTAAGGGAACACATACTTCTGAAGAAAAAAAAAAAGAGTGCTATCCTATCATTATTCAGGGGAAAAGGTCTTTAGTGTTAAATATAGCCTTTAATACCTGATGCACATGTGCTTTCATTTAAAGACCAAGTATAGAAGAATTATGAGTGTTCTTTGAGGAGCAAAAAGTATGTCTCTGTGTGAAAGGGTGGATAATGGAACTAAAAAAATTCCCATCTTCCTCTAGAGCTGCTTTACATCTAAATTTACAAATCTACAACCAGTACTAAGAAAAATTTCTAATAAGGTTTCTTAAAATTAACTACCAGAGGAGGCAACCATTTAACCTTGTTCTCTACACTGGAATATCTGTCTTGTACCACCCGTATTACAAGAATGAAATACAATGGCAATGTCTTTCTTGTGCATATTACTTTTATCAATTGAACACCTGCTGCCAAATTAATTTCTGGTCTTGAGATGATGAGATGCATGTATATGCCTACATGAAAAGCATATGGGGAAGCACTTAAAAAAACAAAACCAAAACAATTAAATTCCTTTCTGCTGTTGCCTTGAAAATCGTAGCAAACCAAGTATTTTTTTTAGAAATCTGTTAATGAGTGGTCTTTTCATTCACCAAGTCTTCCTCTGGAATAACAATTCTTTACAACTTCATGTATTTCCTTTGTAATGACAGAATGCTGCAATCAAAAGAGCATCTCTCATGGTATTATAAACCATAAGATGCTACTGTTGACATATAAAACTCTCTACAGGCACATCACACCAACTTTCCCGCATCAGTAATAGTCATAAATTGCTCTTTACACTTGAGGCAAACTCCACATTGTAAACAAAATTGTATTTTGTCATGAATATCATTAACTAAAAATAAAGAAATGTTAAGTTTGATGCTATTCTTTTTCTCTGAAATGCAACTACTTTCATTTCCAACCAGAAGATGTTCTTCAAAACCAGTGTTGCCTGATATGCTCACCAGTCCCTACGTACACGAAATTATTTGGTTTAGAAGACCTCTCCTTTAGGCACAATATACTACTACAGTGGATGAGGAGCAAGGCTGAAATCTGCCAATGCATTTTTGCAAGTTTGAAAAGCTCCTTGCTTACAGCATGAATAATTCTGATGAGAATAGAACTCTAGAAAAAGTCAAAACAGTGACGTTTTCTGAGAAGTATGCTGTAATTCCTATATTTACTGTCTTCATCAGTTCCTGCAGTATTTTAAAACCAGCAGGTACTGGAAATGAAGAGCCATTGCTTTAACTGGTGTAGAGAAATTACAGGAATGCAGATGGCAGTACAACCATTTAGGCATTCACTCGGGTTTTCCCCCTCTGAAAGCTTCTCTTATCGACGCGTTGGTCCTGCATCAATAAGAGAAGAAGATCCTGTGATAGAAGACATTTCTACCTTCTACAAAAGCTTTCGGGGGAAACCTGTGATGGTATCTTCATATGGTTACCTGTCGAGTGCTCTCACTTTGGGAACCTACGCACCTATGACAAAAATCTAGGGAAGGTAAGTTAGATCACACTCAATTTCAGACTGATACAGATGCTGAGGAATGGTAGCGGTGATTGGTTCCACACCATTCTTCCTAACCTTGGTAAGGTGCATGAGGGTAGTTAGGGTACATGCTATCACTTCTGCCATAAATACTCTTAATTCATATACCTATAAGCACTCCAGACACTACTTAATTTTGGTAAGCAGGATGCACTGATTACACCCAACACTGACCATATACACTCATTCAAAGAAATAGACACATATATATTCAGGCAATATTCTAGATATGTAAACTATATATGATCTCACAGTACATATATATACATAGTAAAATCACACTCACATGCAAGGATAAATATGTTCTAAACACTCCAGAATGGAAACATCATAAACACATGTTAAAATTTGCTGAGTATTGCAATATAGACAAATAAATTCTCATATATATATATTAGTAATTTAAAAAATAACATGTATAATCATTTAGAAACATGCATTTCATTAATCTTCTAAAGATACTTTTCAACTGGCAGGTATATTAAGGCTTACAGAGTTTTTCCTCTTCCAAAAACTCAGAGATACAGTCTCTGCTTACAATGGTGTTCTACCTAAGATGCAATTACGTGAATTAACAAAATCAATACATCTGTTTTCCTCAAATTATTTTGAGCTGTAAAAGAGGTTAATCTACCACCTTTTCTAGAATATATGGAAACGCTGTCAAAGAGACTTCTTGTTTGTCATACTAATTATTGCTCTCTGCCTGATGAAGTACCCTCCTTTGCCATTTAAGCAAGTAGTTTACTTTGTAAGGACTATCAGAAAACATGAATATTCCAACTCCTGTGAATATAATTCATCAACCTGCCAAGTTAAATCATATATTAAAAACAGAGCTATTCTTCTTGCATATTTCATCAAATTAAACCCCTTAATATTTCATGTTTAAATAAGGGAGGGATAGTTGTGAGGCAAAATAACTGAACCATTGTGCATGGAAGAAGATTGTCCTCTCTAGAAGTAACATTCCAATAATCTCATTTGCTTTCTCTTTTATTTTCTCCTCTCTCCTTTTTCTACTCAAATCTGCTTGGAGAACCTTTCAGAAGTTAAGAATCCCCCTATATTTACCGCAAGGATACTCACTCTCCCTGTTTGCCAGCTGCTATTCAAAATACATATATACAAAAGAATACTTTTCCATATTTGATACAGATTTGTCCATTATACTCGCTGCTAGTGTGCCTTAGCATCTTCCGGTAGTGCTTTATTTCATGTGAAAAATACCTATTTTATTACAGCTTGAGAAGTTAAATCATTTAAGGTGTGAGAAGTGGGCTGACTTCAGTCACAACCTAAAAAACCCATTACCTGAACAAGACAAGACAGCTACCAGAAACAAGTTAAGGAGGTGATTTTTTCCTAACACTTTAAATAGCTCTGACTTAGAACAATATAATCCTCCCTCCACACTTACATGAGTAACCCATCCTTTGCTGTTTCCTAGGATCTCAAGCATTTAAACACCAGCTGAGTAAGAAAGAGCTGCAAAATCAGAACAGGCCTCCTTGGCAGGGGGGAAACACATTCCTGTGACTACTGATCTTGCCTAATACAGTAAATTCCTAAAAATAAAATTACTTATTTCCCAGCATTCCATTTTTCTTTGTTCACTGAACTCAGTTTGCACAAAGAAGCCAGAAATACCAGCTTCCTTTTCTCCATCTTCAACATTAGCAAAATGTCAGTGGGTTTGGATTTCTTACATTAAAGGAGAAAGATTATGGCTTAGGGTTTTTGTCAGCTTTGTTTTTATAGTTTTGGTGCAGTTCTCTGAACATCATGAAAACATTACATAACACTAATAAGTTTTGAAAAACTTCTTTCTTTCTAATACCAAAGTTTAAATATTGGATCTATCCTAATAAATCCTCACAACTTCACACACTGCAAAGTCATGTCTAGATCAGATGATTATGCAACCACTTCCCTTTACTAGATTTTAAACTACTCTTCACTCTGTTTGCACAACTGAAAATGAGTATATGAAACAGCACAATGGGTTAAGTAATCACAATGAGCAAGCAATATATCAGACTGATTGACTACCAATCAAATAAAGAACCAGCTACACAGACCATGCTACCCGATCTAGGCCAAATTCCCACCTAGTACCCATCTTTTCCTCCACTGAAGAACAAAATTGACACAAATTGCTGCAGCACTTTCCATGAATGGACTCAGCTAAAGTGAGTTTTGTTACAATGCACATTGCGTTGGAGGTAAACTTCAGTATTTTTTGTTGTCACTCCCCAAAACCAAAGAGCTTTTAATGATTCTGAGTACCAATGACTTCATACTATCCCCTTCTTAAGACAGATAATATTGAAAAAAAAGAATGTGCTAATGATCTCAAAAGCAAAAGGACACTACATTTAATCTTTTTTTGTTATGAAAATATAACTCGAAGTTCACAGTAGTCCTGCACCTGTCTTCAGGTAACAAAACAGAAATATGTTGAATTACACAAATTTTTGGCATCAAACAAACCATACTGAAGTAAACTTAAGCTGAAGGTAAACTGTACTTATAAAAATAACAAAAATTATATTTTAGATGCCTAAATATGCATCTAATAACTTTATTTTAGACACTTCCCCCCCATGATACACTTCAAAGCAAGAAATAACATGTCTTTTTAATGTAGCATTTATGTAATTCTCCAAGCAAAGAAATTCAGTGTTGAAAGGCAGTAATACTGTACCTTGATTTCTTCTATTTCATCTGGCACTATCTTGTATGCAGATATAGTCCCACCCAACCTGAAATCAGGAGAAGAAAAATATTCTCTGAAATCAGAAGAAAAATGTTCTCAAAATCAGTAACACAAAGCACAGCATGTTAACAGTGTCATGACTTGTTCCAAAACACAAATATCCCTCCTACCAATTTAGAGGTAAAACCCACCAAGCCCCAAAACAACAGCAAAAAACCTCCTTTCCTTTCTTTATCCAAAGAAAAATCTTCATGTGATTAGTGTAAAGATTAGAAACAAATTGTCTTTCATGAGCCTGAAAAATAAGAATTAGGTCAACCAAGCAGAACTACCATCACCAGGATGTTATTCTTTACATTAACAGTGATCAGTTATCATATTCTATGATTTCTTGTTTGTTGTCTAAGTCATATGGATAAGTTTAAATATTTGAAGCCTGATGTGCTTTGTGCTCAGTATTTCACTAAGCTGCTATACAGTCTCAAATGCATCCAGATGCAATTCTAGAAATTGAAATTTTTTAAGTAGACGTGCATGTACAGACCTCACAAACCACACAGACTCTATGGCTTCCATGTTTGAAAAGTCTCTGGAGTTCATGATTGGTAATAAAAAGTGGGTGATGTGGAATAGTTGGCACTGATGTAGAAAAATAGGGGGGGTTGTTCTACATTGATCTTACTGAACTTACTTGTCTACATCCTGCAAAAGTTTATGGTAAAGAATAGTTCACATACTGAAGATGCATGAATAGCATCTACTGTAAATGGTGGTAAATATTACATTTTCCCCAGAGACGTGAAGACATGGGTTCTTTTAGTTCACGAAGCAGTATCATTGATAGTGACAATTCAGACCTAAAAATATGACTGCACTAATGACCTCCCTGCTGGCTCTGCACAGTAACACTAGTCATTTTCTGGGTCCTACAGAAATGGAAATCACGTAAGAAACTATTTATTATAAAGCAGTAGACAGCTATCAAATATGTTATTTGTATTATCTCCCTATCATTGGAATTCTTCCTTCCAATTGTCAGCATTTCTACACAGATGTATTTCCTTATATTCAATCTTGAAATTATTACATATTGTTTACTCAACCCCAAAAGGGGAGAAGAGAGTAACACAGAAAATACATTAAGATTTACCCCATAAGTCCTGCCTTTCCATCTCTCTACAATTAAGTCACTCTCAGAAATGAATGGTTTGACGGCTTTAAACAGATGAAGTCTACATAGAAGTCAAGTCTGAAGTCCATCACTGCTCCAAGTAATATCAAGTACGATTTCTGAGGTAGAGACAAGGTCCAGACATTACAGCATTCAAATTCATCATGAAAAATTAAGAGTGTAGCAACTGCTCTCTCCTATTTCCTCTACAACTTCCATTACTGCTAATCATCAATGGAGTTGACAGTTTGAGAACTGAAACTTTTTTTTGCCAGTGCAAGTACAAACATGAGCTTTTATTCTTCACTACACCTGATCTTTGTTCAAATAGCGTTTCCAGGGATAGCTACAAGAAATTGGTTTTAACATCATGACGAAGGATTGCTTCATAATACCGTCACAAGGTATGGCTCAGATCAGTGCATGTTATTGCACATGACCAGTTGTATTGCTCCTGGAATGAGGTCCATAAAAAAAACATTTTTTATTTAGTTCTTTCAGATCCATTCCTGTCCGCGCTCCGGAGTACCAAAAAAACAACTTCATTGATTTTCTAACCTCCAGCAGAAGGGGAGGATGGAGCCTCTGCTGACAGCACTCCACCAGCAGGGAACTCCACCTAGTAGATTTCCTTACTGGCCACCCTCAGCACAACTACTACACACTTTCTTGGAATACATCAGAAAAAAAATTTAAAAAACAAAATAATTGACTCAGTAAACTCATCTGGCTTGCTTAAACCATTAACGAGCATCATTTTCTGCAAATACTTCTGCAAAGTTTTGTGTCAAGAGTTTAACATACTCTGAATCTGCCAAGTTGCAGTCCAAATGGTAGCACATTTTAAGATAAAATGTCAGTTACCACAACTCCACCTTTTGGAAAGATATATTAAAAGTTATGTTACTGGTTAAATAAACAATCCCTCACCTCTAGCTCCATCTCACCATATCTATCTTAATAAATTTTGGATCCTACACTGACATATTTAGCTTGAAAATCCAGACTACATACATAAATAATAACAAATTTGAAACTGAAAGAAGCAGAGACACATAAATATCCAATTCTATAAATGCCTCAGAGCTGAAATGAAGTTTTTAAGGAAGTCTATACTTTCTTTATTTCAGAACATTAGATTTCACTCCATCTTATAACTCCAGGAAGAGAGATCCACCACAACAGATTGCCAGTTAAATCTGGTACTACAGAAGATATAATAAAGACATCTGACTTTGTGTATGAAGTTTGCTTGTGAGTTTCACAGAAGTTTAAAGGCATCACACACACTGGAAGGATCCAGTTAACACAGCCTGAACTCTTCTACTGGCCATAAGTATGACATATGTGGGGAACAGTATTTTTGTTTTTACTATATAATAATGTAGCTATGAGAAAAATGGATTTAAGCTGCCTATTTGGTAGCCTGTGACTAGTGAACAATAACATATAAATAGATTTTAAGAACAGTCCGCTTTTTTCTGGCAAAATGTCTTGATTAGCTTCAATGTCATGCACAAAATATTATGCCATACAATTCACTCGCCAAACAAACTTAAGAGGCAGAACCAATTGTGAAACATGCTGCATACTCTTCATTCAAAAATCATAAATCCCAGTTCATTCCAACCTCATGGTAAACACTCTGAAAATAAATTTGAAAGCACTTAGTTTGGTGTTACCAAATGGCTATTATGAATCTCCCATAGCCAGGTAAGTCCGCAGTATAAGGGACTACACAATGTCTCACACACACACACACAAGTTATGGGGAAAAACCAAAACTATCTGATGAATGGTAAGAAAGAACAGCAAAATCAAGGCAAACTGAAAAATCAATATATTAATTGGTATGTCCAACTTAAGGAAAACTTTATATTTCAAGTATTTCTCTGAATTACATTTAAGTGTCACTATCAACTGTGACCTGTCTGCAAGTTTACTTGTTATTTTTCAAATCCTTGATTTGATCACTGACACCTGAAAGAACAGAGACCAGACAATTACACACACAACGAGATTTCAGCTACAGGATGATACACAGTCTGTGACAGAGGACTTGCACATGGCATGCATCTTTCATTTTCTTGGGAGCAACCTCTCTCTGCAGGTTGGTTTTGTTAGAACATTTTACAGTAACTTTTTTTATCACAGTGTTTCAAGAAGCAATTACACTGTGATCAGGACCAGCTAGCATGAGTACACATTAACTACTGTGGGCTTTGTACACTAGAATATAATGCAGCAAAGTACATGTTAGAAGGGCCAGAATTCAGTTCATCAGGGACCCAATTTTTGTGCAGGTTCATTCTTCATCTTTCATACATTTTAGTTTTATTATAGATTTTATTACATTTTTCTCTAGTTGAACAACACAACATCCAGCATCCTACAATATAAATGCATTTTCTCTCAGAACAAATACACAACCAAGAGCAAAGCTAAATATACAGCCAACTACTCCCAGTAAGCTGAAAAGACAGTCACAAACTTCATCTGTAGATACCTAATGCACAAAGTCTTTCTCTCCCAAACTGCAGCATTTTCATACTATAGCAAGCCACACTAATAGCACCAGCAAGCCACAATAAAATTATTTTAAATACTAGTTATCTTTAATTTTTCACATGTGTATATGTAACAGATAATCTCTGAAAGGTCCCACAATTTATATTCAAATTTCGATAGACATCAGTCTCATCAGGTCTGTATCATACCCAGCATGTAATACAGACACCCCAGTTCTCTAATCCCTTTGCAGAAGAGAGGTGAAATTATTCCTAGATGTAGAAATTAGAGCTGACACAATAAAAACGAAGAACCACACCTTATACTGGGCTAAACTGGTGAATGTCTTTGACGAGAGAATCAGAAAAGATAGGATACAAATTCCATTGAAATAATTAGGAAATAATAAATCTCATATAACTATTTGCACAGGAGTTTGTGAAAGAATAGAAACTTCATGTCTTTTATAGGGAAACTATTTCAGGAAAAAAGTGCATCTCAGGTTGACACATAATGCATACGCTAGGTTTGCAGGAAGTTCAAAAAAAGGATTCACGAGAATGTGGAAAGCAAGGTTTCTATAGCAACCTAAAAAATTAGCAAAATATAGGAAATAAACCAAAGTGAGGCCAATACAGTTGTACTGGAACAGATGGAAGCTTTACTATTTCACAAATTAAAGCAGAGTATCACTGAAGAGGGAAAACCTGAACTTCATCCAAGTTAAGGAGAGTTAAAAACCAGGAAGAACTGTGCTCAAATGGAGGCAAGAAACAATGAACTACAGCCCAAAAGGGAAGAGAACTTGAGAAGATAAAAATTAGAGAGAAATAAATTACAACTGTTATAACAATAAACTATTCATTATTTTAGTAAGTTACCCTTTTATGACCTGTTTGCTGTATGTTTCAATATGTTATCTAAACCAGAAATTTAATGTCTCATTTTTAAAACATTTGTTCTGGATATAAGGTTAAAATTATCACAGTGTTATTTTCCATGTAGTTGCAAGTTGGACTTCTGACTGGTTTTCCCCTGTGCCCCTGTATATATGCATGTGCTGATGGACTCCCTGGGTTATTATTGCATAGCTACATCATGTGCAAGGCACTTGTGCACTTGGACTGAATCAATACTGGTTCGCTTTTATAATTTGAATTCTGACCAAAGATATGAATATAGTCTTTGTATACAGTTCCACATTCTGTGACTGCCATAAGAAGCTGAGCTATTGATTCATCCGTTAACTTAATAAATGAGTCATACTGAATGCAATGAAGTCAATTTTCTAAAAATAGCTTGTAGCCAGCTTGGCTGCTGTCATCTGCTGAAGTTCTCCAATGCCACTTTAATTAACATTAATCTTT